GCCAAGCTTACTACTAGCCTATCGGCTAGAGCCAAGCTTCAACCGCGACTGCCCATTGCTTTTGGCCGCCTTATTCCGTTGGCTGCGTTATTCTGTCACCCTAGATCCAATTCAGCAGCGGCAAAGATCTCTTGATTCCTCGCGGCCGGGTCGGCTTGGAACCAAGCTACCTCTTGCCTATCTTACCTCCTTCCTTCACCAGGAATTTATGTTGTCTCATCTTACTAACTATTTGTTTTTTTGAAGATAAAAATGTTAACATTATTGTATTCTGCAGGCACTTGACACATATAATACTGCTGTGGTTTCCCCTATATACTACGTCATGTTTACAACACTGACCATTGTTGCAAGTATGATAATGTTTAAGGTAATTCAAAATTCAGTTTTGTGGTTATGGCTATTCAGCACTCTTAGTTCTAATCAATTTCCATTTCTTTGAGATATCATGAATGGGTTATTATATTGCTGGAAACGAAACGTTTGTAGTTGCAAGAATAAAAATAATGCAGATAGCTGGATAAATATGTTTATCAAATTGACTGTTCTATAAGGGCAAGAAATGATGTTTGAGAGAAAGGAAAGTTTGCTTGCTTTTCAAGAAGCACAACAAAGGATTCTAATCGAAATTCGAAATGTTGGTAACATAAACTTCTGGAAGAAAAAAAGAATATGATAGTTGAATTGTTGGCAAATCTATTTCTGAAGAGTATATACCTATGTTGCTCGGACTCTCCGAAAATATTGTCGGGCAGTGTATTTTTGGAGAATCAAACACGGGTGCGGCAGTATTTTGGAGAGTCCGCGCAACATAGGTATATACTGATTTTTTTTCCTCGTTTTTTCATTCGATCCGAAAGTTGTATTTTGAAACTTACTGTAATTCTGGTGTTACTTCTTGGGATTCAGGACTATGTTCATCAAAATGCAACACAGATAATTACAGAGTTATGTGGTTTTGTAACTATCCTCTGTGGTACTTTTCTTCTTCACAAAACCAAAGACATGGGAAGCAATCCATCGAAACCAATACCCGTCCTCCTCCTAAAAACAGACACGGATTGTAAGCCAACAAATGAAACCACAAAAATTCCAGCTGAGGTTTGAAGGCAAACTACTAGGAGATTGTTCTTTAACTGCATCATCAAGAGAGTATAAGCTTAGCATTGGAAAGAGGTGATGTTTTTTGACAGGTTGAAGCCAATGTTATACTAGGAAGATATTTCGATATGATTCTTTTTTGTTATTTTGACTTTAGAAAGATTTTATAGTGTGGATACTGATATCGAAATTGACATGCTTCTTCGAATTATATACACAGATAATATGGAAACGAGTTGGGACTTTTGTTGCTTCAGGCTAGCATTTCTTTTGTGTACATAGGACATTGCCTGTATTGAGATTCTCTTGTTTACTTTGTCTAGTTGGTTTTCAATGTCTTTCACTCTCTTTTTTTTGGGATTAAATTCTTGTTGTATCTGTAATAGATAGGGAAAGTGATTTTTTATCGGTAATTTACATTGATTCTTTTAATATATTATGGTTGTTACATTATGAAGAATCTTGAGGACAACAAATTGATAATTCAGCAAGAATTGTGGCTGGAAGCATAAGAGAGTAGTGTTTCTTGAGTAGGAACTATAGATTGTCACAGCTTGAGAATATCAAAGCGATATCCATTGGTAAGTTTTTTTTAGTAACCGGAGATAACAGAATAAACTCATAAGATGACAACAGAAGTCAAGATTAAACTATTCCAGTCTCGATCACCATTCACCAGTATACCTTGGTCCAAGACCAGACTTCGTTCTCCCACTATGTCAACAAAGGTTTTTTGTACTACTACATATGGTAATTAAGGATTATCTTAAAATAGTTGTTAGTGTTACCAAATGAAAAGATAAAAGAAAAAAATGAATGTGAACAGAACTCTAACCAGTCATCAACAATCCCCTTTTTAGATTTCTAGAACATCACGAGAGGGTCAGAGGGGAAATGACATTTGTATTGTAAGTATTTTTCGGAGCATAATTGGCCTTTGCATCTATAATTTAGCGGCCTCTTGACTGTAGTTTTCTATGAAGCTCCGACATGGCAATTCAAGTGCAGCACCCGACACTATTATGGATGTGGGTATGTGAACCGTATCGGATTTGGTCAAACAACTTTGGGTACTTTGACCACGACACAAAGAATTCGAGACGAGATACAATTTGATTACCGAAGTCGGAATCAAAACTTAGGTAAATTTGAAGAAAATAACATACCTTATCTAAGAAATCAATCATTTACTTATCTACAACATGAGAAAAATAAAGAAATTCATACTTTACAAGCTATATGTAAATATTCGCCTAAATTTCTCGTAATTTAGAGATATTGTTATTTTTAAAGTTATTTTTAGGTGGATCCTCACACCCGTATTCGTATTAAGATCCGTATCCCCGAATCTTAGAATTTACATCTCGAAGGATCCGACCTCTAGATCCGCACCCGTGTCCGAGCAACCTAGGTAGTTTTCATTTTTGACATCATTTTGGCCTAAGGGGCATTTGGTGATAACTAAGGAGTACGTACATCCACATATTTCATACAAGATGTGATAACTAAGTTCTTGTACAAGGTGACATATGTTCCAATGCCCCTTCGTTATAACCAAATGGTGTTTTCCGGCAGCTAAATAATTGGGGTAATGGAACACAGTAATCAAAATGGTCTAAACATGTATACGTCTAGGAAAAATTAAATGTTTCCTTAAAACAACATTCATAATAGTAGACATTCCGTTGTCACTCGGAGATGAGTCTTTGTTCTAACTATTTCATAATTCACTTGATAGTATTATGTTCATCTATTTCTACTAAAATAATGTTGCAATCAAAAAGCAAATCCAGAGATCCGATCGCACAAGTTGTAAAGGTGTGCCCTTAAAATGCATTTTTACAAAACCTAAACATCAAATGACCCCTATGAAAACATCAAAGACCCATATGACCAACAGCCCAATATCAACTAAACGAATTGGAAATCAAAATGTAAGTGGTACTACAACCACTCAAGGTTTAAAAGTGTGCCTTTAACCAGCAATTTTCATCAAACTTAAACAATTGATGACTGCTAAACTTGACCAATAGCTTATTATGGACTTACATTCTTTAATATAAACTTCAAGGACTAAGGTCAAACTGGAAGTAGTATTACGATCTCTATAAGAGTCCTAAAGTGTGGCAAAGATAATAATTAATGATAATCAAATGTATCGGGATGGCAATAATAATTGAACTGCTAGCACCTTCACTGGACAAGAATGTTGTAAACGTGTTATATTGAGTCATCTGATTCTTATGAAGAGAGAATTACGTAATTGTTTCGTCCTGAACCTCAAAAGCATAAATCTTCTAGATTAGCAATATTTGTTACATGGTGGAGTTGTTGAGAAGTAGAGGTCTCTTTGTAGATTTGAGCTGGCCTTTGTTGCTCATGTTTAGCTATGTTATCATTCATAAAGAATATAAGAACACTAGGTCATGAAACAAGAAAGAGTGGATATGAACAGCCCAATAAAATCCCACCAAGTGGATCTGGGGAGGGTAGAGCGTACGCAAACCTTACCCCTATCCCGAAGGAGTAGAGGTTGTTTCCGCGAGACCCTCGGCTCAAAAGGCGAACAGAGATAATAGATCCTTACCAGCAGCAGCAACCAGAGAGATAATATAATAACAACATTGTAAGAGACGGAAAACTTGATGGAAGAATAAAAAGAGGTAAAAAATCACTGCAAAAAATATGGTATTATATAAAGATGTTTATTGAACAATGACGATATAAAAACATAAAAAGGATTGAGAACTCTACATTCTATACTGGCTACACTAAAAAGGTGATATAGGAAACATTATTCAAATACATAGGCTCTGAACAGAAACCTAATGTAAAATAATACAAATTACAAGTTACTGACCTTTACACTTGTTCACGTCTCGCAAGGCTAAATGCACATTCCCTCTTCAGGTGGTCGATGTACATAATAAAAGAGCATCCTTCTATTCATCCATCCACAATAAATTGGTCTTCTTGGGTATCTCCTTCAACTCTTGCATCCCCGTGAACCATACCATTGACATGGTGCAAGTTTTGTATCATTTGTGAAAGATAATGGTTAGCTCCTGTGTGATCAGAAAGCCCGGTTGGATGACCAGTCCACTGAGAAAAAATTCCAAGCAGCTGACTAGTAAGATTTTGTTGTTCGTGAAGTATTCGAGTCTGGATCTGGCTCATTTCAGCGCGATGCTGACCTAACGTCTCGTCAATCCTCTTCTTCCAGTCTAGTCTCCTCTTGTTCATTCTTTCTTCACGTTCTCTTTCAAATATAAGTTGTTCCTCTCTTCTCCTCCTCTCTCTCTCCTCACTTTCCTTCTCCATTATTTCCCATTCTTGAATTCTCTGTCTCTGCAACTTCTCCATCGTTTTCTCCCTTTCTTCCTTCTCTCTTTCTCTTTCCTCCCATTTTCTCTCACGTTCTTGTTCAAGTTCCGTTTTGAGATGTTCTCTCCTCTGTCTCTCCCGCTCTCTCTCAGCATCACGTTGCTCGAACCGAGCTTCCATTTCCTTTAAGTGTGCCAACTGCGTTGCAAGGAAACCCCATGCCCTCTTCTCTACCCCTTTCAACATCTTTTTCTTCTTTCTCGTATCGGATCCAGTTGCCTCAATATCTTCGTAAACAAATCCATCATCCGCATCTTCCTTCATATGACTATTCCTCCTAATATTACCATTGAAATTCCCCTCTCCTTCTTCCCCATCATAATCAAACTCCATACCAGTAACACCATGATCCACCCCATTAATACCTCCGGCAAAATCACCGTCGCCAGCATGACCTAGATGCCCGAATTGATCAATCCCGATACCATTACCACTCCCATCAAATCCCACACCATTTTCAATCCCATCTCCTACGACCGCCATGGAGTCACTACAACTGAAAACAAGCGTATTCACATCCCCAAATACTTCCTTATACCTCAAAAAGTTCGACCAATGAGTTAACCCCTCCATCCAATCAAACTCCTCCCCAACACCCGACTCGTCCTCCCCTGAATTTGGCTTCTTAATCTTCTGCTTCACTAATGTATACTGGTGCCTCATATTCTGCACTTTAGTTGACACATCCTTCCAAGTCCATTGCCATGGATACGTGATCGGATCACGAACATGGTGCACAGAATTTACATGTAAAGCAATAGGTCTATACTTCTTTTCCCTAGTTTTCATCTTAGCTAATGTCCCATCACATAACATTTCACCATATTTATCAATTAAAGTTCTTTCTTCTGCCTCAGTCCACTTTTTTCTTCTTGGTTGTGGCATCATCAAAATAAAACTAACTCCACTACTCAATTCAACAAACTTTAAGAAGCTCAAAAATTACATACACAACAACTTAAATGCCCAAAATCCCAAATTGCAATTTTGTTTTTACCACAAATCCATATAAAATTAAATAAACACTCAAATTGACCAAGAAATTTGTCCAAGAAAAGCTAAAGGGTATACTTAAAATCACAACTTTTTAGCAAATACCCAAAATTACAACTTTTTAGTAAATACTAAAAATTACAACTTTTTGAGCAAATACCCAAAATCAAAACTTTTTAGTAAATACCAAAAATTACAACTTTTTAGCAAATACCCAAAATTACAACTTTTTAGTAAATACTAAAAATTACAACTTTTTGAGCAAATACCCAAAATCAAAACTTTTTAGTAAATACCAAAAATTACAACTTTTTAGCAAATACCCATATTAAATTGAGGAAGAACAATGGCATATATATACAAATAAGACCAAAAAGAGTGATAAAAACTGACCTTTAAACCAACAATAGGTTTCTTGAATTGGGGAAGAAACACAGATAAAGGGGAAATTTTTTTGATGGTGAAAGTTAAAGGGAACAAAAATGGAAAATTGGGATTTTCTGGTTTGATTTGAGTTTTGCTTTGTTGGGGGGGGGGGTAGTTAGTAGTTCAGCTGTGTCAAAAGCATTTCTTTCACTACTGGTCGAAACCCGAAAGAGCAGAGAGATTCGCAGGAGCTGAGCATGATTCATGTTGTGAAATTACCTCGTTGCCCCTATGCTGCTCTTCTTCTTCTTCTTTTTTTTTCTTTTTTTTTTTGCTTATTAATAGTAATTTTTTGTTGATTCTTTTTCAATTAATTTTTGGTGGCTGGGAAATTTTTGTTACTATACTTAAACCATCTCCAATGGTACTCTATTTTTTACACCAAATCTAAATTTGGTGCAAGAAATAGAGTAATGTTGCTCTAATGGTACTCCATTTGTTGCTCTATTATAGAGCATAAATAGTGTTGCACCAAATTTGGTGCAACACTATTCATTAATCTATATTTGGTTTAATAATTATATATTGTGTATATAATTAACTTTTATATTAAGATCTTTATAATTTTAATTTTATATCCTATTTTTTTATATATTAATTTTTGTATATATTATATTTGTATAAAATTATAAG